CGTACGAGAAGTTATATGGTTGCTCATGCAGATCATCGATCTGTTGGAAAGAGGTGGGTGATAAAAAATTGTTCGGTCCAAATCTTGTAGAAGAGACTACAACCAAAATAGTTAAGATCAGAAAGAACATCCAAACAGCTCAGAGCAGGCAAAAGAGTTATGTGGATACCTAAAGGAAGGATTTGGAATTTGAGAAAGTTGATCGAGTGTTTCTTAAGGTCACTCCTTTCAAGGAAATAAGCAGGTTTGGCAAGACGAAGAAACTAAATCCCTCGGTTTATTGGGCCATCTGAAATCTTAGACAGAATTGGAACTGCCTCCAGAACTATTCAAGGTCCATAATATATTTCATGTGTCCATGTTACGCAAGTACAACCCGGACTCTTCTCATGTCTTGGCCCACGAGCCCCTTTCACTCCAGGAGGATATGTCCTACGAGGAGTTACTAGAGGGTATTGTGGACCAAAAGAGCAGAGTACTCTGCCACCAAGAATTCCTTTCATTAAAGTCCTATGTCAGAATCACACACACAGAGATGCCACATGAGAGCTAGAATCAGACTTCATAGCTCAATATCCCCAATTGTTTGATTGAGTGAGAGAGAGACAAATTTAAGGGACCAAATTTCTTTTAAGAGGGGAGAGTTGTAATAATCGAGTCCAAAATTTTGCCCGGGATTAATCTTAAAAAAATAAAAATATATAAATATAATTTTTATACTTATAAATTTTTATTTAATGTAAAAATTAGGAAAAAATAGGTGGATGATGAAATTAAAAATAATTTTGGGAAAAAAGAGTGAAAATTTGTGTTCGGGAGGTATTTTTGAAAAAAAATCAGAAACTGGGTCAAAATATAATTTAAGAAAAATGTGCCACGCAGGAGGCCATACTGGGAATTCGCGTGCCCGCGATCGAAAAGTCCATTACCGCGCACGTAAACAGTCCGGATCCGTTCCCTCCTCAGACACGATCGGACGATCGCAATTAAACACGATGAACGGTCAGATTCGTTCTCTCTTTAAACGCGATCGTACGGTTCAGATCAAATCTCAATGAACGGTCTAGATTTATTTCTATTTAAACGCGATCGGACGATCAAGATCAAATATAATAAATGGTCCAGATTAAAGGGAGACGAGTATAAATATCTCACTTCACACCGAACCCTAACCCTAGTCGCCAGACCCCCTTGGAGAAGAAAAAGCAGTTGCAGGAGAAGGAAGCCGACTACCGTCCGCCGCTACGTTGGAGCCACCTTTAATTGCCAAAAAAGGTAAAAATTTTCTCATTCGCTTGAAATTTAATTTTAAACACTCTAATGGCCAAATTGGAGCAAAAGGACCAGCGGATGAGCCGGAAACTACGGGTAAAACCCGGCGGCTCCTGAAAAAATAAAAAAATCACAACGATGAGGCTCTTCTCGATTCTCGTTTCGTGCGATTTTCTACCATTGTATTCAACATTCTGTTTTTTACAAGTCGACCGAAGAAAAACGCCCAATTGCGAAGGTGAACCGTCGGAGCCGTCACACCGAAAAATTTCACCGCCGATAAGTTTTTGTTTTTCGACCTTTTTTGGCTAACTGAAACTCCTTAACGTGTTTTCTCACAGGGATGAGTATAAAACCAACCGAAATCAACTAAAACTGGCCAAA